AAAGGGACTTTAATACAGTAAGTATACAATATGGAACACAAAGAATATAACTTCTAAATCAGACACCTGAAGTGACCCATCCCCTCGTGGGCAAAAGTCAACCCAAAGGGATTTGTCCAAAGCAAGGTCTGAAAGCCCGCCACAAGACTAAAGCACCTCCTGGCCAGGACCCATGGAAAAGGGTCAGACATGGCCAGACAAGTCTGGGAAGAAAAGAGCAAAATCAAAATCAGTATATACACTGCCACAGTTACCTCCCTACAGGTCTCTCACCCACATCTGCCTTAACCAGTCCAGGGTCAGGAAACAAGCACGGTTTCTTCATCACACGCTTGCTGGTCCATGTGGCTTCCTCAGGTCTCCTCCTTGTTCTCCATCCTGCTTCCTTCCTTCTCTCTTCTCTCCTTTTTCTCTGCTCAGCTCCACCCTTCTTCTGGGTGGGGCAGGGAATCTGGAACTTCCCCTTTTCCTAGGAACCACGCTGTTACAAAAGGACCTAAGACTCCCCAGCGGGCCCCATCTCCATATCCTTATCTTTCACCTTTTGGGTCTAGACACTGCCCCCAGCAGCCTGTTATCTGCTGAGGCCTCCTGCAGTCAGTCCTGTGCCTGAGGATCTTGATGTTTAGGACTGTCAATGGCTATGCTAACCCCTCCCTAGTGGTGCCGTTAGTTAAAGCGCAGCACTACTAAGCTTTCCGCAGCCACTGCAGTACAAGAGTTCTATCACCAGCCAAGGAGGTGACCCACATGATGCAGCAGACCTCTCCTGTTTCACCCACTGCTCCCCTTGATGGAGGAAGGAATGCAGGGGAGGCATCACAAGATTGAGTTGCACAAAGGGGACAGATAGAAGGCGCTACCACAGCAACTGACACAGCCCTAACATCAAGGTACTCAGGTGACAAAGCCGGGTGCTGGGATGACCCAGCAGATAACAGACTGTTGGGGGCTGAGTTTGAAGCTCAGACCCAAAGGTAAAATATAAGGACATGGAGATAAAGCTCACTAGGGAATCTCCAGTCTTGTCAGATGCTATTCAAATTCAACAGACCTAGGCTCACAGGGAGTGAGCCCCTCCCAGGGAGAGGCTGCCTATATCAGCCCAGTCTCTCCACCAGCACTGGGCAGCCGCTCCTCTGCTCACCTGTGCCTATGCAGGTGCTTCTTCCCACCGCTCTCTCCCTCTGCAGGGCAGCAGCCTCCTGCCTGCTGTGACCTGTGCCATGCCGGGATTCCTCTGCACTGACCTCCCTCCGTGGAGGCCGCTCTCCTAAGAACGCCCGGCTGCAGCCTTGCAGGCCTCTCTCTGCAAACCTGTCCATTTCGGGGCAGCTCTTTCTGCCTGCATGTAATTGTCAGTCGGTTTAACAATCCTATTATTTAACTCATTTCTTGTCTTAGTTCTATCATTCCCCTTTGAACTGCTTTTCAACAAACAAAATAGACAATGCTAACTTCAGCCTTTCTCAAGATAAATTAATTTGAAGTGCTTTCTATAAATGCAAGACTGTCATCATCATGCCTATACTTTAATTGCAGGCTTTACCTCATCACATTAATTAAACATGTCACTAGACCTGTTTCCTTCCCATTCTACCAATGGGAAGTGATACCAATGTTTTACTAGTGATAACTTCACAGTATGTTACCTGCTTTCAGGCACACTAAAACTAATAAATTCTAAATATAGCCAGAAAATATATAGCATATAACATAAGGGAAAAAAATGACTGCATGAGAAGCAAATGAATGTCATGCTAATATTCTTTGCTTCGTGATTCAGATTGGCTTATTTAATAAGCATTTCCAAGGATAGGTTTATTGTATGTATTTACTTGGAGTGGGAGCTTCGTTTATGTGAGGTAAATAACTAGGCTTTCAGAAGAAAATGGTTAAACTTCTGTTTGAAACTCTCGGTGGCTCCTTGCTGACTTCATTCTGACCTCCCAGGACCCTGCAGGTTGTGGCTTCAACTTACTCTTCTCTCTACCTATATCTCATCCACATACCTCCTACACTTGACTTACACTCTTTTCAATAAGAAATGATATTTCTTATTATTATTGGTAGGTGTGATTAGAATTACTGGGGTGACTTTGCTTTCATGAACTCTCAATAGACAAAGCCAGCAGTCAACATCACATCTTGTTATTTCCAATTCAAGTTTAATATTGTAGCTTTTTAAATTTTATTTTAAGCTTATATTATTGCCTTTGCCTTGAAATCATGAATACATTGATATATTTGCTTTATCCTACAATACAAAATTTCAAATTTATTATAACATAACAACTGAGAGTAACCATGGCTTGAAATTTAAGTTTACTTTGTAATCCTTTGTCCTCAGAATATAACCTGTAATCAATCATTTAAAACGTCTATTCAAAGTATTCAAAACTAACTCAAGCAATTATTTGCTCCAAGAACTTATGATTTACCTTTGATAGATTCATTTTTCCTTTTGCTTAGTTTTTAGGTTTTGTTTGTTGTTTCTTTTGTCTATTTTTAATTATGTGGAATAATAACCTGTTTTGGAGTTCAGGGTCCTTGGATTCACTCTGGGAAAGGTTTCACCAGAGCTCCCCTTTCAGTAGCACGTGGTGAGTTTCTCCACGAAACAGAGACTCAGTTAAATTTAAAGAGGAAGTTTATTGGAATAGGAACAGGAGAGGAAAAGACCTGCATAGGCACTCGTGGGCGGGGAGAGCTGCACCTTTTGGGGGGCAGCATTGTGTTTTATTATCTCCTTTGGTAGGGAGGGGCCCTTGCTAGCTGTTAGTTGCTAATTTGAAAAATCTATGCAGAACCTGAGAAGGCCTGAGGTTCCCAGATGAGCTTCATCTCCGTCCTTCTCTTTTACCTTTTGGGGCTGAGCTTCAGACACAGCCCCCAACAGTCTGTTACCTGCTGGGACCTCCTGCAGACATCCAGGTCATCCCTGCTTCCGGCTTTGGCCCTGAGGACCTTGACTTTATGGCTGTGATGCCTCCCCTTGCATTCTTTTCTCAGTCAAACACCATTAGAAAAATTAAACTTAAAATTTTGTTCTCATTCCTGTTTCCTCCATTCTTTCCCCAAACTATTTGTAAGTAACTTTTTTTTAAATTAAATTTTGCTTGATGCTGGAATCCCAATTTTAGCAATATCCTAAGTGTTTGTGCTTCACAACCAGCTTTGAGTATTGTTGCTCGTGATGTATGGCGGAAAACAATACCCAGGAAACTAGGTTAATATTTTTGTTTAAAGTGAGGAAGCAACAGTCAAAGAAACAAGATCTTTACTACTCTGAATCCTCACTTACACTACCTAATAAATTTATGTCAACACAAGTGTATCAGCACATCACTATGTGAATCACAAAGATAGCCAATGGATACTCAAAAGAAGCCCAGATATGGGCAGCAGATAAATTTCAGTTTGGATATTGAATCTGAAGTGGGCCAGGGCCATATTGGAGCGGCTTCTAATACAGAATTATTTGTGTAGACCTGGAGGACAGATTATAATTTATTAGCATGTCAGTGAAATATAGGTGAAAGATGATTGAAGGTAGGAGCTATAGAGTTTGAGAAGCTGAATAGGATGGAAACTTGGGGACACTCAAGACACCAGCAGAGAAAACTATCAATGGCTGGCGAGGAGAATCTGAGAAGACAGGTCATACAAGTTCAGGAAGCAGTGTTACAAGAAGAAAATAGTTATCCATGTCAAAAACTTCTGAGAAGGTTAGCAAGAAAAAGGCTAAAAGCTATTCATAGGATTTAGCAACAAAGAGACCAGTAAGGTGGTCTTTTTCAGAGAGGAATCAAAGTCGTGGAAACAGTAGCCAGCTGCTGTGTTAACAAAGAATACTACTTCATATAAAATGATCCTTGGAGCCACAGATATTTTGTCATCTGCAGCAGAGCAGTGTTTTCTTCTAAAAGCAACAGAGTGAACATTTGGGCCACATTTATTACTATTTTCTCCCATAAATATCTCTTCTTAATCTTGTGTGCTGGCTAGTTTTCTCTGTTTGAATATAGCACAAGATGTTTTGGGATTTAACAAAATAGTATATGCTTAGTTATTTTAGGTGTATTATTAATAATTATTGCGTAATAAGTAGCATCCAAATAGGTAATATTTTGAGTGAGGAATATTCTTAAGATATTCCTCAAATAGCACTGACATTCAATTATTGATAGTATCCACAAAGCGTATGAGAACGATAGCTCCAGATAAATTAAAATCACCATCCTTTCTCCTACTTCTGTAGAAAGTAGACTTTTTTTGGACACCACCCCCCCAAACCCCCCCACCCCCTCCCCGACAAACAAGCTGGAGAAGGCCAGCTTAAACAAGTTTGGGAGACCATGATGTACTGAGAGGAAGAGGCCTCTGGTTTTCAAACCTGCTGAGCATAAAACTGACAACCCTGGCGTGCGACCCTACATCTCGAAACCCTGGTCTGGCGTGGGACCAAGAGATCTGGAACTTGAGTAAGTGCCTTTGCTGATATACATTCAGCTCCTCAAGGAAACCTAGGCCCAAAGCATTTTCAACTAGACAATTCTCAGCATTGGAGAGTCGCTGTTCTGCGCTTTGGCAGGCGGCGACAGTACTCAAAAGGCATCTAGCTTTCTTTTGGGGCGTCGCGGGCCTGCAAGTTCACTAGGCGTGTCCTTTTCCCTGTTTCTCTCTCCGCGGGAGACACGGTTGGCTCGCGGACCCAGGTGTCCACACCTCCCGCTGCCGTGTGGGACGGCTCAGTGCTGGCTTCGGTCCCGAGTCGCCTGATTGACAGGCAGCGCCGGATCCCTTCTGCGCCCCGCCTCGCCTTTCCTCGAGTCCGCGACCCTTGGGGCGGAGTTTCGGCGCCACCTCATCCCTTCTCCCAGCAAACAGGTCAAGGGGGCGTTCCCGGAAGTTGTGGGTCTTGGAGTCCCAGAGCTGATTGGTTGACCAAGGTCGTGTAGCCAACACGGGTTTTCCGGAATTAGAACTGAAGTCTGGACCGCCGAGTATGGCTTTCTCAGGTGGGCAGCTGCGCGAACTCCAGGGAACTCTGCTCCCACCCAAGGACCCGGTGGAGGAACTAGACCCTGAATTTCCAAAGGAGGAGCTGGAGGAGGAGGAGGATCTGGAGTTTGTGGACGCCGAGGAGCTCTGCAGTGGGGGTGTAAAAGCTGGCGGCCTCCCTGGGTACCGCCGCGGTGAGGAGGCGCCCTGCCCCTGGGGGGGTGGGATTGCTGGAAGAAAGAAGTTTTCCGATCTGACATGATCGCTAATAACCTTCCTCTGGGCTGTCTAATACTTTCGTCTTACAAGGATTAAATAATGCCGATGATAATAGCGACAGTGATTTGAGCAAATATTGTGTCTTAAGCTGTCTGTACATGTGTCATCTCATTGATATTGACGATTCTTGTGTAGCGACGGTAAAGCTGAGGGATGAGTTAAAATTTTATTTAGTTAAAATTGTTTTAAATTTATATAGTCACCTGTGGGTGGTTTAGACAGAGAAGGGTTTAGGCAGAAAATTTTCACGTTTACATGAAGGGTGTGGTCATTTATTCTAAAAGTATTATTGAAGGGCTGTTGTGTTCCAAGTCCATTTTTGTTCCTAGAATACCCTGGAGAGAGAAGATTAAGAGGTTATTTTCTTTCTTTCTTTTTTTAAAGATTTGTTTATGCATACAGAATTCCGGTACAAGCCAGAGGTGCAGGGGCAGTGAGAGGCTTCGCCAGAGACAGTGGGGAGCAGAACAAGCAGATCTACAAAGTACACTGCTGAGGGGAGCAGCGGGCGAGACATCTGCCACGCCATGTGAATCACCTCCAGTTGGGGGGATCGAACTCCCACACTGAAGCTGCAGTGGCTAGCTTGTAGTGTTGTGTCCTAACCAGTTACACCACCAGGGCTAGCCCAAAATGGAGCTCATCCTCTAGTGATAAGGAGACATTCTCTAAATAATCACAAACTTAATGAAGTGCTTACAAGTAATAGTATATGGTGTTATAAAAAGGCACCTTTATGAGATTCAGGGAAGGCTTTCTGTCATAAATAGGGTAAACTGAAGGACAGTATTGGAGGTAGATAAAATAATTCATGCGAAGATCTTGTGGTGAGAGGGACATGACTTTTTAGAGAAATTAGAAATCGCACAAAAGTTTATTTTTGCAGGGTTAGGGTAGTAGAGAGAAGACTGACTTTTGCTACTTACTATGCCTGCCTTTTGGAATACAAAGATAAAGGATACATTGGCCTATTTAGAGACCAGTAAACTTAGTAGATGGAGACAGATAAATAGAAAGTGTGATATAGATACCCTAGCAGACATCTATAAAGTGTTGTAGGAAGATAGTGTGTTGTGTTTAACAAAATAATGGGAAAGAGGTTTTAAAATATCCTAAATTGGCCCTCCCTGGTGGCGCAGCGGGTTAAAGCACTGCACTGAGAAACTAAAGCCACTTCCGCATGAGTTCGATCCCCGCCTGCCCCGGAGGTGACCACATGGCACAGCAGACCTCTCCTGACCCGCCCGCTGCTCCCCTCAGCAGTATACTTCGTCGCCCCTCAGCAGTATACTTCGTCGCCCCTCAGCAGTATACTTCGTCGCCCCTCAGCAGTATACTTCGTCGCCCCTCAGCAGTATACTTCGTCGATCTGCCTGTTCTGTTTCCCGCTCTGTCTCTGGTGAATCCTCTCACGCTCCGCATCTCTGGCCTGTAGCCCAGTTCTGTACGAATAAATAAATAAATCTTTAAAAAAAAAAATCCTAAATTAACTTGTTTTTCCCCCTCAAGCTGTAATAGCTGATAAAAGCACTAAAGAAACATTCAAAGTGTTTGGACGTTTTCCAATAACGGGTGCCTGGTGGCAAGTGAAGGTGCAAGTAAAGCCTGCAGGATTGACCTACTATCAAGTTCAAGGATTTCCATCTTACTTTTTACAATCTGATATGTCACCTCCAGATCAAAAGCATATCTGTTCCCTCTTTCTTAAAGATTGTAATTTCCCCTCTGATAATATAACTAAATTTTTAGCATGGGTAAATGCTGTATCAAGCTATAAAAACCTCAACTTTAGAAACCTTACGGAAACATTAAGAACTTTCCAAAAAGAAATTGAAAGGAAGAATAAAAAACAATCTACGCAGAGTGAACAGGAGGAGTCACTACCAGATTATGAGAGGATCCTTCCTCTGGAAAGCACTAGTAAGTATGATTTTGTCACTGAGTCTTTAGTATAAATGAGCTACTTAAATGATGATGTGATTAAATTAAAGTATAGTATCTTGGTAGAGTTTAATTTGGTAGTATCCGTTTGATGAAAAGGTGTTTATATTGTTTTTGGAGCATGTTGTTGACAATCCATGTTCATCTATAGCGAAGAGATTAGATGACATGTTGTTTAAGCCTTTAGTTTCTCTGCTACTCAAAGCTGAGATTGTACTTTTTTATCTTTTGTGCCCCTAGGAGAATTACCTCAAGTCATTAGAAAAAGTTCAGTTGTCAATACTGTTAAATCAGGCATAGGAGAAAGGCAAGGATATATGTATATGAGTAATGGATTTGGAAAGATTTGGAAAGACTTCAGTCCAAATGTTTAAAGTACCTTTTGAGTATAGTTTGTCATTTGGTCTTCCACAATTGACAGTATATCATTAAATATCTTCAATGACAAAAATTTGTGATTACAGCCAGAAACTTATTATAAAGGTGAATTTGTGAATGATTTATTTTTTGTACTTAGCTTTAAATTGCCTTTATATCAGAGTCAAAAATTTTATTCTGACTACATTGCAAGCAAAAGGAAACAAATAGTTATCAAGTCATTATCTAAGCTATTAAAACTGTAAATTTTTGTTTCAAACACAATGAAAATCATCTAAAAAAAGGCAATTATAATAATGAACAATGTTCTTACTAGTTAAAGTAAATATTTTTTTTACCTCTTTTTGATTTGGAGTTCTTGAATTATTTGTGCGGCATGAGAAAGTCCATCAAATCAGTTTTTGTGTGAGTTCATTTGTATGTTTTAATTTGTTTTTCTGATACCTTATAGTTCCTTTTATAAGTGCAATGACAGCTTTACAGTTTCCCAAAATAATGGAATTCCTGCCAATTCTTTTGCCTCGACACTTTAAACGGATCATAAGTTCAAGTTCAAAAGAGGTGTTGGAAGACATAGAAAAAATTTTAACTACGCAACCATGGAAACTTGGATTTGGTAGAGTAAGTAAGACTTGTTTAACATTTAATAATCTTGTATAAAGCAAGATTTCTAAACTTGATAAATTTTGCATTTCTCCCTCTCTTTTTAAAAAAGATTTGTTATTTATATATACAAGAACTGGGGTACAGACCAGGAGTGTGGGTGCGGGGGGTTGAGAGTGTTCACCAGAGACAGAGTGGGGAGCAGAACTGAAATACATTGCAGAAGGGAGCAGCATTTAGGACAGGAGAAGTCTGCCGTGCCATGGGGGCCACCTCCCTAGCTGGGGCTCGAACTCATGGTGTAGTGTCTTGCCAGTAGATTTGTAACCCCTGTGCAACCAGAAAGGCCCACGTCTCTTTCAAAGGCAACACATTTGTATATTGATTTATTTTTCTTGAGTGTTATATACAAATATAGACTTATGCAGTATGTTTATAAAGGTAAAACAAAATAATAAAATTGATTAACATTCAAGTTATGTCTATTTGTATTTGCTCAATAATCTAATTGTATAATATAAGACACTTTTTTTGGTAACTAAATTGCCCTTAGCAACTTGAGTAAAATGCTTATGTGGGGCCCTCCCTGGTGGCGCAGTGGGTTAAAGCACAGCACTAAGAAGCCAAAGACACTTCTGCATGAGTTTGATTCTCGCCTGGCCCGGAGGAGATTCACATGGCGTGGCAGACCTCTTCTCACCCGCCCGCTGCTCCCCTCAGCAGTGTACTTCGTCGATCTGCCTGTTCTGCTCCCCACTCTGTCTCTGATGAAGCCTCTCGCTGCCCCTGAACCTCTGGCCTGTACCCCAGTTCTGTATGCACTAATAAATCAATCTTTAAAAAAAAAATCTTATGTGGATTAGTCTGTTGTGCTATGCAATTCAACTCCCATGTTCCTATTAGAGAGCTCTGAAAATTTTCTTTATTCATATGGTATATTGTGATAGCTATCATATGATATTTTCATTGGCAAAGAAATACCTTTATAAACGAATTCACTTCTGTTTTTAATCTTAAAGACCAAGAATAGAAAATAGCACTGGGGAGTTCCAGTGATTTTAGAAATCAAATGTGGCACTTAAATCTTGGCAGTACTTGATTTTAGGTGGTTTTGCAAGGAAGATTCAACTTAAAGATTCTGAGATAATTCTTGGAACACTAAGAATGTTTTTAGATGCTCATAATTTGAGATATACTGAATTGATGTATTTTTTCCTACACAAAATGAAGATTTCATTTTATGATTTCAGTATGCTTCAAAAAAATAGCATTCAATAATTATAGCTACACTTACAGAGAACAAAAATAATCACTGCATGTTCTGAGACTCTGGTGAGAGAAGGGGACTTAAGCCCTACTATTAATCATGTAAGCCACCATCCAGAATAAAGGCTTCCTGAGCTGTTAGTTTGCTAGGCTGTTAACTCTGTACGTCTGTGCTACGTACCATAAACTGGATGGCTGAAGCAAGTTTACTTTCCCAGTCGAGGAGGTTTCCAGTACAAAATCAAGGTGTCCACAGGGTTGGTTTCTTCTGAGAATTCTCCCTTTAGCTTGTGAATGTTCACCTTCTCCTTGCGTATTCAAAGAGTCATCCTTCTCTGCCTGTGTTCTAGTCTCTTCTTATAAGGGCACCAGTCATTCTGAAGTAGGATACAACCCAATGATCTTGTTTTAATTAAATTATCTCTTCAAAGACATTTTCTTCAGATAGGGTCATGTTCTGGGGTAGTGGAGGTTAGGATATCAACTGAAATTTGAGGGGGACATAATTCAGCTCATGAAACAAATGAAAAGTCTCAGGAGAGATATCACAATGAAAAAAAAAATGGTGATGGATGACCTGCTAAGTGGGTCGTGGTGAAGGAAGTTCTGGATCTTTCTGTAGAGTTTAGGCAGTATTGTTCATAAGCACAGAGACAACAAATGCTAAGAAAATGAGTCAGTTGTTATGATAAAAATGGATTTCAACACAAAAGTTAATAGTTTATCATGTTATTCAGTTGTGAATCCTCTTTACACTGATTTAACCAAAAGTGATAAATAATGTGTACTGTAACTTTATTAAAAGATTAAAACGAGGCCTTCCCTGGTGGTACAGTGGGTTAGGGTGCAGCACTGAAAGTTAGCTGCAGCTACTTCAGTGTTAGTTCGATCTTTGGCTCCGGAGGTGACCCACATGGCGCTGCAGACCTCTCCTGACCTGCCTGCTGCTCCCTTCAGCAATGTGCTTCGTCGATCTGCCTTTTCTGCTCCCCGCTCTGTCTCTGGTGAATCCTCTCACCGCCCCTGTACCTCTGGCTTGTACCACAGTTTCGTATGCATAAATAAATAAATAAATCTTTAAAAAAAAAGATTAAAAAGAGAAACATGTTTGAAGGTGATAGTGAAACGACAGAGATCTCCCCTGGAGAAAGATTTGCCATAGTAGGGAGTTAATTCTAAACAAGTAAAAATTTTACAAAATGAAGTAGTGTTTTAACTTGTACTTATTAATGTGGAGATAATCAATTCTGGAAGAAGTAACTAAAAGTGCTGAAGATGTTGCTTGAGAAACAAAAGAGTAAGGCGTGGGATTTCTGTTTCTTTATGTGTGATGAAACTCAGTGTTTTGTGACTTAAAACTGTATTGTTTTAAAAAACGATTTTAATGACAAAGTTTAAGAGATTAATGAAAAGAAAATTAAGTTTTGGTTACATAGTTTCATCTATATATGTAGTTGAAAAGTTCTGAGATTGAAAAAATATGAACAAATAGCATCATTTTACTGTAAATCTAATAGTACTTATCAATAATTGCTATTTTTTTCTGTGTGTAGAAGAACTAGGGTACAGGCCAGAGATGTGGGGGTGAGAGGATTCACCAGAGACAGAGCAGGATACAGAACAGGCAGATGGACTAAAATCTACTGTTGAGGAGAGCAACGGGCAAGGAAGGAGAGGTCTGCTGTGCCATGTGGGTCAGCTCCTTGGTGGAGGATTGAACTCAGGTCATAGTGGTGACAGTGCTGAGACTTAACCTGTAGGGAGGCCCCAACAATTACAATTCTTATAAAGCAACTTGAACTTTATTTTCTTAGATAACCTACAGAGAATTGAAACTTCTGCGATGTGAAGCAAGTTGGACAGCATTTTGTCAGTGCAAGTCCCTTCTCCAGTTGATGACGGATTTGGAGAAGAATGCATTAATGCTGTATTTCAGACTGAAGCAGCTGTGTCGAGAATATGGGCACACTTGTGTTGAAAGAGATGACTTAAGATCTCAGTTGTCAGAACACATGTGTTTTGAAGATGCTTGTCAGTCCCTGACATTTTTGAAAGATATTGGTGTGGTAGTGTGCGAGAAGGCCTGTGTCTTTCCTTATGATCTTTACCAGGCTGAAAAAGGCATCGCTTCTTTAATATGTACCCTGATGACAAAACCTCCGTGGCTTTTGCACGTCGATGTCCAAAAGGTGCTTGCTTCTATTCCCACCACAAAATGTGAGGATACAGGGAGTGATGATAACACATTGAATGAAAGTAAACCTGATGAAACAAAATTAGAAAATTCAGTGGTGGTTCTGGAAACACAGGACAGATGTGACCATATTTGGAATAATGCTGAAAATGAACGTGATGCAAAAATAAGTGAAGCTCAGCTGGACCAGGATCAGGTGACTGCTTTGAAAATGATCTGCTCCAATGCTGTGACAGTCATAAGTGGAAAAGGGGGGTCTGGGAAGACCACAATTGTTAGCCGTCTTTTTAAGTACATAGAACAGTTGGAAGAAAAAGAAATTAAAAAAGCTTGTGAAGATTTCGAACAAGACAGGGATGTACCAGAAGAATGGATTACCTTTACCCAGGAAAATCTGCAAAAAGCTGACAAGTCTATAGAAGTTCTACTTACAGCACCTACAGGGAAAGCAGCTGGCTTACTAAGGCAGAGAACTGGCTTCAGTGCCTACACGCTATGTCAGGTTAAGTATTCATCTTTTTTTCTGCACATTAAAACATTTACCTTAAAGACAAACTTTATTTAGAGCTTTTTGGTTGCAAATGTACAGACATATATCTAATTCTATATATGCTATGTTATACTCACCACCAAAAGACTAGTTCCCATCTATCACCATAATAATTGAACCCTTTTACACAGTTACCCAGTCCTCGTCCTCCTTCCCTTCTGGTAACTACTATTTTGCTTTTGTAGTCTAGGAGTTTGGTTAATTTATTTGTTGTAGTTCTTTAGCTGCAACTTATGACTGAAAACATATGGTGTTTGTCTTTCTCTGGTTTATTTCACTTAGGATAAGTCCCCCTGGGTTTTTCCATGTAGCTGCAAATGGCATGATTTCATCTTTTTTAATAGCTGTGTAATACTCCGGTATGTGTGTGTCTGTGTGTGTGTGTGACATCTTTATCCACTCATCTGTTTATGGACATTTAGGTCATTTGAAACTAAAGGGTTCATTTTTTTTTTTTTTTAATTTTTCTTTGTTGACAATTAGGAGGCATTGATTGAAAATCTTCTGGATCCCTGCCTTTGTAACTCATCATTTAGATCATTACCACTCAAAACAGGAAACTTATTGGCTTGCAGTAAGATCAGAGTTAGTACCAGGAAGAAAGTTAGTGCATTGCTTCAATCATTGAGAAATCTCGTTATGAAAATAAATCAGTGAAACTAAAGTGTATGTGTTTTTCCTTCTAGGAATGATTATAAACTTATTTTATTTCTTAAAGACTTTACTCATGTATACAAGAACTGGGGTACAGGTCTGAAGTGTGGGGAGTGAGAGGATTCACTAGAAGCAGAATGGGGAGCAGAACAGGTGGATTGACTGAAATACACTGCAGAGCGGAGCAGTGGGGGAGACAGGAGAAGTCTGCTGAACCATGTGGGTCAGCTCCCTGGCCGGGTATCAAATTCATGCTGCAGTGGCTGGGGATGGCTTCATAGTGCTGAGACCTAACTCCTTGCCCCACCAGGGAGGCCCGGGTTCAGTTCTTTATCTCCTTTGTCTACACCAATTCCTGGAAAGTATTATATGTTTAAACTGTGAAATGGATTAATATACTGAAAAGATAGTTTTGCATGGAAGAGCTGGGGCGTAGGCCAGAGGTGCTAGGGAGGAGGGGTTGTGAGGGGGTTCACCAGTGACAAAGGAGATGGAGCAGCACAGCTGAGGGGAGCAGTGGACGAGACAGGAGAGGACTTCTGTGCCCCCCCTATATGGGTCAACTCTCTGGCCAGAGATCAAACTCAGGCTGTAGCATAGATGGTGCAGTGACTTAATCCCTAAGCCATCAGGGAGGCCTCCTGTGTGGGAAGGTTTCTGAAAGAAATAGTAATTTAGTAATTAAGTTGGATCTAGAGGCTCAGGTGCAGAGAAGGTCGTTTCATTTAGGGGAAAGGCCTTTCAAATGTATTGAGGGAAGTGACTGTTGTGGGCATGTATTGGTTGGGATGACTAAGGAATTGAGCTTTATAGTTTGTAATGTCTTTAAATTATCTCATTCAATCTTTAATAAATCAGTGAAGTGGGTAGGTATGAGCCACTCAAAATTCGGAGGTGTTTAGTGACTTGCCCAAGATCTTAACTATGTATAGAACCAGAACTTAGACTTCTTTTTCTGAATTCATGTTTCTGCCCTCCCAACTTATTGCTCTTTCCATGGATCCATAATTTCCTCATTATTGTACATCTTATGACCCTAACAAAGAACTTGGGCTTGATTTAACTGGGAGCATTTTGGCTCTTAAGCAAGAGATGAAATGAAACAAATAGTTGTAGGGAGATTATGTGGAATCATAGCACCATAAGCCAGTCAGAAATTATTTTGTCCATTACCTTTATTTCTCATATGAGAGAATGCAGACCTAGAAAAGTCCATTGTAGCTTCATTTGTTCTGATCAGTTTTCTTTTTCACTATTTTCATATCTGATTAGTCTGAAGGATTTGAATTTTAAGAGGAGAAGCAAGAGGATTATTACTCAGTTTCTCTTTATATTCCAACTCTGATCAATTAATATTTAATGTCTGCTTGGGGAGCTGAAAGGACATACCTGAAGTCATATTTAGACTCAGGAGAAAGTGTAAGGGCCCAGGAAAAACACTAAGAAACCACTTATGTCTCTTATTCTTGGGCTTGGGTTGCTAATTGAGATATGAATAATTTCTTAGTATATACCAAATATTGCATCAATTATACGAAAAAGTCTTATACTAAAAGTTATAATTTTATAGTATAAAATAAGCTTAATGATTAACTTATACTAAAAATTATTGGTCATCTGCAATTCAGATTTACCTGGGTGTCCTATATAAATTTGGCAATCACATTTTGGATTAGTGTATTGCTGGCAATTTGGTTGCAAGGCACTTGGGTGTTAACAATACACTTGGGTGTTAACAGTAAGCTTGGTTGTAACAGTAAACAAATAAAACAAAATGATTTTTTGTTTATTGTTTTATTAGCTTTTTTTTTTTAAAGATTTTATTTATGCACACAAGAACTGGGGTACAGACGAGGTGTGGAGAGTGAGAGGATTCACCAGAGACAGTGAGGAGACACAAGCAGATTGACTGAAATCCACTGCTGAAGGGAGCAGCAGGCAGGACAGGAGAGGTCTGTTGGGCCATGTGGGTCAGCTCCCTGGCTGGCGTTAAACTCTTGCTGCAGTGACTGCTGATAATGTCATAGTGCTGAGACTTAACCTGTTGTGCCACCAGGGCCCTTTTTGTTGTTTTTTTTAAGTGTTGATAAAGAGTAGTATTTTTATAGTTAGGTTGGGGAGGAAGGCAGGCAGTTCTTTCTAAATCCAGCACCTTAGACCGCTTGGCCACACTACCACTGAAGGCAGTTCTTTCTAACTAGAGTGGAGTATTGTTTGGAGGAGAGGGGGACTTAAGTGATTGGTTTTCTCAGAAGACCAAGAAAAGGTTTATTTGGGAATAAAAGGTGTAAAGAGAGGGGTTCAGATTTTTACAGTGGGATGATGTGCTTTGTGAAGCTTGTTAAATTGACCACACTTAAGTACTCACTAGAAAGGACTTTCTTTGATTCTTTTTTTATTTTTAGAGTTACTTGACCTGTCTTTTCTGTGTAGTCATCTTTAACATCTGTATTTCCTTTTTCTTTTTCTTTTTTTCATAGCACCAGGGTATTGACACATAGGTTTATTCTTTGATTCATACATTTATCCAATATTTTTTTTTTACCATTTTTCCTACATTACATTTTCCACCCTCCTCCATTTATTTAATACTTTTGTTTAAAAATATCATGCTCTTGAATTTTTTGGATATATTTTATAACATGAATTTAGAAATGCTGTTCTTTGCTTATAGGTCAATTATAGCTTCTATCTGTGGAAAAAAAATATGATGACCAAGGATCGGCCATACCAGCCATGGAAATTTTCTTCTGTTAGAATTCTGGTTGTGGATGAAGGTAGTTTGGTGTCTGTGCAGGTCTTCAAATCAGTTTTAGATTTATTGTGTACTCACTCCAAACTTTCTAAGCTTATTATCCTTGGTAAGTTAAAATATTGTTGGAATTTTAATGTTTAGCTCAAAGCATTATGTTTAGTAGGTTGTTTATACCACTTGGCTGTTTTCCATGCCCCAAGGATGGGTATCCTATCTCAGCCCTACTAATGCCCACTGAATTCCATCTGACTACTGGTTATCAGCGCGGCTCAAGCTTTGTTTAGGTTTGGATGAGAATGAAATAGAATTGTGAAGGGTTTCTGCTAATCACCTGCATGATGACTATTAAATTTGTAAAAATGTCACAAATCTCAAAGTAAAATAGGATGTACTGATTTACTTTGGATCATGCAGAAATGGTACAAAGCCTAAATTATAGACCACTGAAAGTTAATATGATTTTAAGCTAATAACTATTCTCTTACTTCCTTTCAAATTTTGATGAGATTCAGTGACTATATGCCTTAATAGAGAGAAAATAGAATTGTTATTTGAGTCCCAAACTTGTTATGTCATTTTTGGTAGGTATTTGAGGATTTTTATAAGTAGTTGATTCTGTTAATGGCTTAAGCATTTTCCCCCAGTAAATATTTTTCTTATCTTTGAAGATTTATTACATTTCTGGAATTTTGTCTATTATGAAATGCCTTGGTTTTATTTTATATTTTATATGTTTATTTTTTTATTTGATGTCATAGTTTATCCCACTTTTCCATGTTCAGTAACATATTGACCAAGATTAGGTGACTAAATACTTGATATATAAGGACAGGTTTTCAATTTTACATGTTGACTAAAGTTTGCCCCTGCTCATTTTACCTGTGGTTATAGGTAGGAAAGCATCCATTTCAGATTTTACCTACTATGTTGTCACACTTTTTTCTCCCTTACATTGTTTAATTTCAAGTTGTTTTATTAAGTATTTGTAAGGACTTACTGTTCTTATGTAAATATTTCAAAGAAATATTTTTTGAAGATTAACTTTTTTCCCTCTTAGAGTAAATCTTCAAAATTATGTCCTGTCTCAGTAGAGAAAAGATAAGATTTTCTAAATTTCAGGACCCAGTGACTTAAATCTTATTGTGACTTAAGTCTTTTTTCCCCTTTAGGTGATGTTAGGCAGTTACCCAGCATTGAACCTGGTAACTTGTTGGAAGATGTTTTTGAGACTCTTAAGTCAAAAAATTGTGCTGTTGAACTAAGAACAAACCATAGAGCAGAATCTGAGATAATTGTGGGTAATGCTACAAGGTATTTGCATTTTCTCTCTGTTGTATTAGAAATAAAAGATTAAAAAAAAAACTCACATCTATCTATCTATATGTCTATATAGATATAGGTATAGATATATAGAAAGGGATAGATGCTTCTGAATTAGAATGATTTAATTCTCTTTTTTGGGTAAATACACCATTTTTTTTTTTTACACAAAGTTAGGGCTCTCCCTGCTGGCCTAACAGGTTAGGATACAGCACTGTGCAAAGTGGCCATGGCCGGTTTGGTGTGACTTAGATCCCAGGCCCCGGGCACTACATGGTGCAGTAGACCTTTCCTGTCTTGCTGACTTCTCCCTCACCAGTGTACTTCACTGATCTGCCTAATCCTCTCACTGCCCCTGCACCTCTGGCCTACATCCCAGTTGTATATGCGTAAATAAATAAGTCCTTAAAAAATGTTTAAAAAAAAAAAAGACAACGTTAATATTTTTTATTACTGGTCCAGCGTAAATTAGGAAATTTAAGAATGAATGTGGTTTTTGATTAAAATAATACATGTGTGAATTAAAGTTGCCTTAAATTTAAGAGATTGGAATAAGCTGAAGAAGAGCAGCAACTTGAAGATAAATTATACCATGGGATAAATTGAAGAAGAAATGTCCCCTAATTTTTGTAATGGAGCCAAATAAAAAAAGGGTTATTGTATTTCACTCCTGGTAAATGATGGCACCCATAGCACAATACTCTCTTCAGAGTGGGAAAGAATCCTTGTCTTCCCTTCATTTTTCATAGGTCCTTAGCGTGATCCCCTGGGTTTATAGATAGTTGATTTCTCCATAATCCTTGTCTCACACCATCACACTTTCTATATTCCTTGGCATTTAAATGTAAATCTTTAGATGTGAGGGGTCCTTTAATACCAGGAGACTTTTAATCTTTGTTTTGGATTCTCTTACAAGATGTTGCTTTTGTTGCTTTGAACATTTCCTTGGTTGGATGACAGCAAGAACTAGAACATTTAAGACCTGCCATCCTTATATTCCTGTCTACCTGGGATAGGACAGTGCGAGTAGAGGAAGAACTGACAGGAACAGGGTAGATGATGAAACTTCACCTTAAGCACTAAGAAAATAATGTAGTTGGATATGTGATATTTTTTCTGTTTTCCTTCTGCTCCTATCTCAAGGCTGCCACAATTTTGAAATGTTAGTAGATAACTGGTCATTTGAATGCCTGAAAACTTGGAAGAATCTAAAATACACAAGATTTCTTAGCACTCAGTTTTACCTGAAACTTAAGAATTCCTGTTAGTAACTCTTTCAATATCATTTAGGTTCAGCTGCCTGCCTTTCATTATTTCTTGTTAATCATCATTAACAAATATTTATTCACTGAGAAAAAGATCTCCTTGGATATCAAGGAAAAAGTTCAGAGATAGAAATATGCTTAATGTGGGCTGTTCCTGGTGGTGCAGCAAGTTAAAGCTCAGCACTATGAAGCGATCCACAGCCACTGCAGCATGAATTTGATCCCCAGCCAGGGAGCTGACCCACATGGCGTGGCAGACCTCTCCTGACCTGCCCGCTGCTCTCCTCAGCAATGTTATTCCAGTAGATCTGCCTGTTCTGCTCCCCACTCTGTCTTTGGCAATCCTCTCACCACTCCCCTTCCCCCCACACCTCTGGCCTGTACCCTAGTTCTTGTATACATAAATAAATAAAAACTTAGAAAAAAAAAAAAAGAAATATGCCTAATATCCTGAGTAAGAAACAAAACAGGAAGTTTGTGTTGATTCTCAGGCTGTAAAAACATAAACCTGGGACATTCTTAGTAAGGGCAACTTTCTTCTCTCTTCTCTCTTCCTGTTCAACCCTTGTTGGGAAGGGTTGCTGGTCGGTCAGCTCTAGGAGTCAGACCTCTTTCCAGTAACTCAGGAGACACTGGTATGACAAGGCACCTGTCCCTTCCGGTTTTCTGATATGAGCTGCTGGTCTTGGGAAATACAAGATCAAAAAGATGAGGAGTGAATAGACATAAAGAGAAGCTGTAGATAGTTGGTTCAGGTAGGAAAATGAGACCACAGAAAAAGGAAAACAGAAGTATAGTGTAAATGTAGAAAAGGCCCCAAAGGGTCCAATTTAGTTATTTTAAGATTTATTTATGCATACAGAACAGGGGTATGGACCATAAGTGCAGGGGTGGTGAGAGGACCCACCAAAGACAGTGGGGAGCAGAACAGGCAGATTGATAAAATCCACTGCCGAGGGGAGCGGTGGGGGTGGTCAGGAGAGGTGTGCTGTGCCATGTGAGTCAGTTCCCTGGCTAGGGATCGAACTCATGATGCAGTGGCTGCTGATAGCTTCATAGTTCTGCGACTTAACCCCTTGCACTCCCAGGTAGGCCCATAAAGTGAGGACATTTTAACCAGCTTTCCACTAATATAGCAGTAAATGTATCAGAAAGCCACGATGAAGACCCTGCAGGTAATGGCTTAGCAGCAGCACACTGAAGCAGTTGTGGCAAGCTTCTTAGTGCTGTACTTTAACTGTTTGCGCCAACAGGGAGGGCCAAAATCCAAATTATTTTAAACTGAAAGGAATATAGAGCCAAATGGCCCCAGATTTTCCTCCTAGCCTCCTTGTTTACTGTAGATGTAAGCCTCATGTTATTTGCCAGTGAAATGAAGCTAATACCCACATTCTTTGCCTTTAATTTCCCTAACCCTTTTAATTTGCCAGGTATAGGGGACTTGATTGAGAACATTATGGGCTTGTTCTGTTTTTGAACTCATTTCCTAAAAAATAAATTAAATAAATAAAACCTCACTTCCTATTTCTAATACCTCTATGGGTGGCACTTTTGCCCATTTATTATCTTTTTACAGGTAGTAGTTATTGTCTCATATTACCTGTGATCATATATGAGGACATAATTTTGGATACTAATGTTCTTTGTGTATCACTTTATCTTTATTTAAGAATTTCAAGGCGCCAATTTCCAGAATTTGATGCAGAGTTGAATATCTGTGATAATCCAGCAGTCCCTGTCTCAATTCAAGATAAAACATTTATTTTTGTCAGACTTCCAGAACAGTGTGACAGTTCTCAGTTCTCCAATAATGATTTTCAGTCTTGTAAGTATAAATTAATATGATGTACTGTTAAATTTCAATTTTGTAATAGAGTTTTTAAGTGATTAGCTGTTTTATTTTATGGTCGATAAATATTGCTACTAAAAAATGAAGCTCTGAAAATAACTAGTTTATTAATCCTCAAAAGCAGATTATCCCAGAAATTTATAAGGAAGTAAGATCTGGGCACACACTAAGGTAAGTATGTATTGAGTGGATAAGTGGACGTAGGTGATTAGTTTAGAATAAAGCGTAAAGCGTAACCCCAGTAATCCAAGCACATTAAGAAGAAAGCATATCTTAATGAATGAAGTTTTTCTTTTATAGCCGTTTGCAAGGAAATGCAGTTGTTATCTGGAGTACAGGTGTGAAAAAAGGAGCTATTAAACTATTGCTGTATTGAGTTCCTAATAGCTGTGTTTTATAAAACGGACAAGGCTCGCTTTTAATCATGGTGTTAGAAGATGACTTGACATGGGTTAGAAAGGCGGCTATAAGATCTTCTCCTTTGTGTTCACGACCACTGTGCCATCTCTTAGCCAGCTGTAGGCTGGGAGCCGTGGTGGCGGTACCTGTGGGGCTGCAGTGAGGCCTCCATCTGGTAGAGGCAATCCAGAAGAGTCAGTTTTTTCTGCATAGTAGATATTATGTCATGGATTGCAAATGAGTTTATTTAAATAGCGTAAAGTAGAACTTTACCTGTAAATCTTTTTCCTGTATGTGTGTCTCAATTATCTAGGGTTAGTGATCATTTACATTTTATAATATTTTTTTCTTTTTAAAAAATGGAATCACATAAGATATGCTATTCTGTTCCACGCCTTTTGGGGACTTTGGGGTTCTAGAAATAATTCACATTCCTTAAAAAAGTCAAATGATGGCATGGCAGCAGTGTTTCAAGTAAAAAGTTAGTATTTCCCTATAATCTTCCTCTTTCTTCCCCTCAGACATGCCCATAGAGATAACATACATAGTAAGAACTTGTAGTTTATCCTTTTAAAGCTTGTTATATCACATGTATTATTTATTTCAAGCATATATTATCTTAGTTATACATAAATTGACTATAAGCTGTTTATTATTTTCTGACATGTTTTTTATTAAGTACACTGTGAATAATTGATAGCTACTATTTATTGTCATGGCTGCTTACAAGAAGGTAGTGTACAGATGAAGACATTGGCACTTGGATGCTATAAATAAATTGTCCTCACTGTCACTCCACTTAGACCTACTTGTAAAAAAGAATGTATTTAAAAATTTTCTGTCTCAAAAAAATAATTTCTGTTTCAGGATCACAGCAAAGCTTGACTAATGCATTGTTTCTTATCTCAGTTAAAAACTTATGTTGGAAAGTGAGTCTCTTTAAGAAAATTGAATATATAGAGAGGCATATAACACTTTTTCATTAAACACTGAGTAAATTATACCTGTAATTGCAAAGTATGAAGACCTAAGACAAGCTTTGTTGCTGGATTAGAATTTCAGAGGTATTGAAATGTAAGAAATATGCCTGTTAGAAGCAGCAAGTGCAGTGTAAATATTGATCAGAGAGCTATAAAGAGAGAGAAAAAAGCGGGCCCTCCCTGGTGGCGCAGCGGGTTAAAGCACAGCACAAAGAAGCTTAAGCCACTTCCGCATGAGTTCGATCCCCGCCTGCCCTGAAGGTGACCACATGGTGCGGCAGACCTCTCCTGACCCGCCCGCTGCTCCCCTCAGCAGTGTACTTCATGGATCTGCCTGTTCTGCTCCCCACTCTGTCTCTGGTGAAGCCTCTCTCTATCCCCATCTCTGGCCTTTTACCCCAGTTCTGTACGAATAAATAAATAAATCTTTAAAAAAAAGAGAGAGAGAGAAAAAAAAGCAAGGTGCACTGGCAGACCATGGGTTGGCTGGGAGCGGGCTGGGTCTCTGCCACTTTTGATCTGAAAGGTGAAGGAAAGGCATTTGGCCGTCCTAGAACAGGGCTTTTCATTCCCCTGTGATTCATCTGCTGTGGAGAACCACACAAGGCCTGGGATTATTCTTACTCAAACTTTGAATCATTCCTCATGAGAAATGTCCGCTGTTTAGTAATGCTACTGAGGGAGATTAGAGGAAGCTACTTCTCCGTGCTTTGAGGAAGGACATGTAAGTAGGTGACACAATTGTCAGTGCCTCGAGCTCTGAAAGCGGGATCTTGGCCATCCTGCCCTTTTTGGGAAATTTCTTTTACTTCCAAGTGTCTCCATGTCACACTCATAATCAGGATGTACTCAGCGGTGATAGTCAAATGAGACACTCTGACTTCTGTAGATCAATTTAGGATTATTCTACTTATAGTTACATAAAGATGTAAGATTGATACACTCAGTAGAAACCATACTTGGGGTTTACATCTTTCCCAGGCTGGCCTGACGTGGTCTGATATTGTCCAGCGATGCTGGGCAGAAGCGGTGATTCCCAAGCAGACATGCACTTCCTGGGGTACACAAACACTCTGAGGTGTGGGGGGGGGAGGTAATGTGTTGCCAGTGTTTGTGGCTTAAATGTCTAACTCACAGTGGGTTTACTGGGATGTAACTCTATGTGTCAGCTGAGGAAGACCTGTGTTTGATAGGATATAGGTGTGATCATTGTTGGGATCGATACCTCTGTGGTGCCTGGATTGCCTTTTTAGTTGTTGAATTGTAGGGAGGTCTCAGGGTCTTGGAGGCATGAAAGACATGATTGGGATGGGGATTAGAACATTAAGTTGTTTGGGGAGTAGCTATTTTCCAACCCCTATAGAAGTAATCTCAGTATTTTATATTGGTATGTACCAGCTAAATATCAGCCTTGGATACAATACTGCTTGCCTGTATGTGCAGATTTAACTAGATATACAGTATATGCAGAGCATGTAGAGTCTCAAATTATAACTCATTATCACTGGTAGTACCGGCACTTAAAATAGAAAGTCTTAAATTAGTAATTCTGTTCTGTATTTTGTTTTCTTGTTCATAGTTTAAACTCAGCAGTCATAACCCTTCAGTGAATATGAACGGCTGTATTAAATCAGGGGTTGCCTGGCTAGTGATTGGCCTCTCTCTTGAGGATGGGGTGTCTGAGCCTTTTCTCTTGCTCTGACTGAGAGGGTGTGAGGTTGATGGACCCAGGGTGATGTTGCACTCCTTTTCATGTGATGCTTTCCTGGACTCCTTCATAGGAGTTCTGAAGTGTTTTCTTTATAAAAACAACATGGTAATTTGGTCTCTTTGATTTTTTTTTCTTTTGAATTATTCAGATTTATATTCTGCAGTTAAAACTTTACTCAAAGGAGAGGACTTGCAAAATCCCAAAACATCACAATTTATTGCATTCAGAAGGTAAAGCATTTCTATTATTATAATGTCTTTAATCTCACTTTTAATTTCCTAACTTCATGTAAATATTTGAATAGGAGACTCTCAGAGTTCATCAATGCTAATTCTCATATTTTGAGATACTGTTTTGCTGGGCCTGGCAGAAGGCCATTTCTGAGCAGGTCTCCTTTGACCAAAGAGCATATTTGAAAACTCACAGGAGATCGGCATGGAACAAAAGCTTATGTGAAGATAAAAATGAGCAAATACTCTTCATAGAATTCAGTAAATCGTGATTGTTGATGATAGAAATAAGCACCTGCAGATACCATAAAGCTGACCTCTACACTTCGTGTGTTTCAGGCAAGACTGTGATGTGATCAACGCCTGCTGTTGCAAGTACTACTTGGACCGCCTTCACAAGTAAGTGCCGAGCGTATGGAAACTGAGGACAGTTCGCTCTGGTTTGACCTTCTTTTGTTTTGGCGTTTCTCACTGTAGGATTTAAAAATCCTTTTTCCTTATTTGTGAAAAATAAATATCTCCCATTAAAAATATATGCTTAGGCATTGACTTTTGGTAGTCAGGGTAATAAGAAAAATAAGGACTAGAGCTGTCCTTGTGATTTTCTCATCGATGACCTCTAGCTTCTCCAAGAAGGGGAATTCTGGAGAATTTTTCTTTCTTTTTTAAAAATATTTTTACTATGGCAATGGCACAGGGTGACTTGGTGATGGTAGACCCACGGGGATTACAGTTGAGATGAAAAAAAAATGTACAAAATGATGTAAAAATAAACTATTATATAAAAAATAAAATAAAAATAAAAATATTTTTACTTACTTTTTTGTGCACAGAAGAACTGGGTTACAGACCAGTGGTGTCAGGAAATGAGAGGATGCCCCAAGACAAGATGGGAAACAGAACAGGCAGATCCACTGAAATATGCTGCTGAAGAGAGCAGCGGGCAGGTCAGGAGAGGTCAGCTGTGCCATGTGGGTCAGCTCCCTGGCAGGGGATCCACCTTGTATTGCAGTGGCTGCTGATTGCTTCACAGTGTTGAGACTTAACCCCTTTTGCCACCAGGAAGGCCCTGACCTCAGCATTTTTATCAAGACTTCTAACTTAAAAAATTTGGGCTGGAAAGTGACTTGAGAGAGTAGAGGTAGTCAGGCCTCAACTGTCGGAGCCTGAGACCCTGTTGACCTTTGGAGAAAAAAAGTGAGTTAAAAAGAATGGAAATCATTTTGAGAGTTGGAGTGGGTCTGAGTGAGACTTAATGCTTAAATAAAATGAAATTGTGGTTTTCCCAACTTTCACGATGTATGATCTTTCAACACAGAGATTGCCGGAATAGACTTGTATTTGGAACTGGTGATAAAATCTGTTGTACCAAGAATGCATATCTCTCAGACATACTCCCGGGAAATACTTCCAGCAGTCAGCAAGACAGCAAACTGGATGCCAGTGGTGAAGCCCTTAATGGTATGCCTTACAGTTTTGCTGAAAATAAGCATGACTTTGAAAGTGGTCTTCGACTCTGCAATGGAGAAATATTTTTCATAACAAATGTAAGTGGTAACAGAAATGGTAGCTTTAGAGATTTTGAAGTTAATCATATAAGTGTTGACATTCTGCAATTTTATGTTGAAGATTTTTGCATCCTTGTTTATGATGGATATTAGCTTATCATTTTCTAGGAATGTCTTGTCTGGTTTGGTGTCTGAGTATGTGGGCCTCATAAAATGAGTTAGAAAGTATTCCTTTTATATTTCTGGAAGACTGAACATATTTTTTAATAACATTTAAAGCTTAATAATAATATTTAAATTGAATAACAAAAAACCAGGGCTAAGGGACATATTTTACAAAAAAGTTTTTCGTTGGTTGCTGCTTTATTATAGAAACAATAGAAGTGGTCAACTTGAATCTGTTCTCATGGTAGAGACCTCTCAAGCTTATAATATTTCTTAAAAGCTTTAAGGAAAAGAAATGTGCAAATAAAACATACACCGTTGTATAATCAGTATAAGAAAATGAAATGTAGTGACTTCACAATTAGATAACACAAACTATTCTTCACAAGCTAATTAAGGGTAGGTTTCAAGGACTGAAAACTTCTATTATTTGGATGTATATATATTCTTTTGGTACTCCTGTATATTATATATTTAAGGCTTGTGAAAGTCTTAACAATTTAATGAATGTGTGTGCTGTTTTATTTATAAAGTGATTATATTTTATGTTCAATGCTGTGATAGAATATCTTTGCTGAACATTTAAAGATATACAAAATAGTTCTCTGTTTTGGTAACAGGATATCACCTTTTATGATGTGACCTTTGGAAAGAAAAGATTTGTGACCATTAATAATATGGCTGGCTTGGAAGTAACAGTGGATTTTGATAAACTTATGTATCATTGTCACATAAAACATGCATGGGCAAGAACTATTCACACTTTTCAGGTAAGAACAAACTTCCGTAAAGCTATTTAAAGAGCTTCCAGTCCAAAGAATACCTTTGCATTATATGCTTTCTAAATTTTGTTGTGATTATTTTAATTTTTAATTAGGAGGCAAAATACTCAGGACAGAGATTAACTTTTTACTCATTTGCTTGTTTCAGAATACACACTATAAAGTCCAAAGAAAGGTATGGTGCTGTGTACCTGTAACTATTTTTAACTACTGTATGATAAATTATCATTTGAGACTTAGTGGCATTGGAAGGATTTATCAGTTATGTAACCTAAAGAGCTGGTTCAAACTCTGTCTAGAAAGAGAGAAGTGCCTGCTTTGTATGAGGATTTTTTTTTTTTTTTTTTACTGTGGATCTGTATTTTCTGCATGCTCCATCTTGTCATTTGTCTCCCCACGATTCCTCTTTTGAGAGGGAGAATGTGGGAACATTGGGGGAGATAATGGTTCAAGCTGTTTGTCTCTGTGTTGGCTCTGGAAACATGGAGACTAAGAATAGCACAAAACTTGAAACTGTTTTCTCAGTTACATGGTGACATCGAGCATTTTTCTTGCTTATACAATCCTTGGTTTGCTGAATGTATGAAAGTTTCTTGTTCTCTTTGGTTTTATTTGTCTTGATAAGAATAATAGATGTTTCCACAATGGGAAAAGATGGAAAAGTAGAAAAAATATCATCCTTTGGAAATAGACTAGTTAAGAATTTAGTACAATTTCCTTTCCCTTTTAATGTGATTTTTTTTGGGGGGGGGTTACAATTTCAAGTTCATTTTGTATTTCTTTGAATCAGTAATTGTATTTTATGTTACATTGTGTTACACAGTTGTTTACATATATGCTTCCAATCTTTAATATTTTGCAATGTATACATATATATATATATATATATATCTTTTCTTTTTTTTTTTAAAGATTAAGGTGGGGTGCAGGGTGAGAAGATCCCTCAGAGACAGAGTCGGGAGCAGAACAAGCAAATTGAAATACACTGCTGAGGGCAGCAGCGGGTGAGATAGAGGTCTGCTGTATCATTTGGGCCAGCAATTTGGTTGGGGATTGAACTCATACTGCAGTGGCTAAGGAAAGCTTCACAGGAGATCCATTTTGTTACATTTTAAAGCATCTTTGATATTTGCACAATAGTTGTCAGCTATCTATATTACATTGTATATAGATGCTAGATATTTAATGTAAATAGATAAATATTATTCTATTGGCTATTTCAGGTATCTTTTTTATATACAAACAATGAGACAATTAACACATATGCACATAAAGCTATATCATTTAAAATTCTTGTGTTACGGAAGACCTAGGACTATGCACAGTCTTTAAAGTTTATTGCTAAGTCTTTCTGTGAGACAGTTGTGGGCCTATGAGTCCTGAACTTAGCAGTATAATTAGAAAACAGGAATCTTAGGCCCTCCCTGTTGCATAAGGGGTTAGGATGCAGCCCTGCAATCTAGCTACAGCCACTTCAGTATAAATTGATCCCCGGCCCCAGCGGTGATCCAAATGGTGCAGCAGACCTCTCCAGTCTTGCCCGCTGCTCCCCTCAGCAGTGTACTTCTTTGATCTGTCTATTCTGCTCCCTGCTTTGTCTCTGGTGACTCCTCCACTTCCCCACCACCCCTGCACCTCTGGCCTGTACCCTAGTTCTATATGCATAAATAAATCTTTAAAAAAAAAAAAACAACAGGAGTCTTAGATAATGACTAAAATGAAATCCATAGATAGATTTTTGTGAGTCCTCTAGCTAGTTAGAAGGTGCTCAAGAGCATTTTCAAGTCTTGTCTGCCTTCTGCCTTGGTAGCCTGTCTGAAGGCAAAGACCAATCATGTCATATTAAGTCTGTAATAATTCCCTCCTAGGGATCCGAGGAGCAGACTGTCGTCTATGTGGTCGGGCTTGCTGGCCGTCAACACTGGCAGCACGTTTACACCGCCGTCACCCGGGGTCGCTGTAGAGTGTATGTCATTGCACAGGAGTCTCAGCTGCGGAAGTCAGTTAGGAAACAAGGCATTCCCAGAAGAACTCGTTTGAAACATTTTTTGCAAGACAAACTCTCCGTGAGCTGTGCATCGCCAGCAGATTTTGCATCCTCATCAAAGAGTTCTGGAGACAGTGGAGGCCCCTGCAGCATGCAGACCTTACCTCTGCCGCTCCCTGCAGTCATAGATGTGGGGGTGACAGATGACACGCCCAGAAGCGCAGCCTCTGTGACTGGGTTCAGGACACCCCCCTCTGCTGAAAAATGGAGATTATCTTCTTTGGATAAAATGATTCCAACCGAGGCGCCATCAGTCGCTCGAGGGCCCAAAAGAACCTGTGGTACGGGTGAGGACGAAAGTCCAAAGAAAATCCCTATGGTAGGGTGGCTGTTTTCTTGTGCTCAACTTTTAATATTGCTGACTTCAATGTGCTTGTAAATGACTGTATTTTCTTTGTGTTCCTTTGTACTGTGGACTCCCAAGTGTTCTCTTACTCTTGTCAGATTCCTTCTCCTTAAGCTGGCTGCTCTTTGTTGATCTTGTCACAGGGCAAGCCAATATGAATTGGTTGCCTGACTGTGGGCCCTCACCTGTGTGCTTAAAGGGATTTATACTTCAGGCACACACAAAAAGGTTAATAATGGGTTTATTTACAAAAGAAAGGGAAATGAAGAACTCAGGGAGAGAGAGAGAGAGAGAGAGAGAGAGAAGTAGGTTAATATTTCCTGCCAGTTCTGCTGACCTAGAACCCCAGTAGCATGCTGAGAGCTGGTGAAAAGCCAAGAGATAAGCCATGAGCCATGAGGCCAAGAGACCCCCCAAAGCCCACGTGTCCAGTTTATATCCAAACATCATTGCTTAACTCCACCTCAGGTCCTAGTAATCCTCTCTTTGGTGATACTGGGATTTGTAGTTCTGGTGTCTGGAGTGGCTGGTGGGGTCCATAAAACATGTATCTGTAGAGTTCGTTCAGGAATATCCTTTCCCACTAGCATTTTCACTCTGCTTGAGCCTGTCTCTGAAGGCAAGCTGAATGGAGGTACCTGACTAGGGAGAAACTTATTTGTCACTCTACCCCTTTTGTCTGTCTGTCTTCCTTTGCACCTCCCTTACCCCCTTTGGGGAGCCTCTATCTCTCTTTTCCCCCACAACTCCACCAAAGTGACTGATTGCAGTCATCTTTTTGGCACTTCAGAGGCCATTTTGTTTTTGGTCTTATTTTGAACTTTTAACATTTCCTTCCCTTGTTTGTAATGTTACCTACTCTAATAATTCCTCTACTCCTTCCCCCAATACTTCATCTCCTCTTTGTTTTTTCACTCCTTTCCCCATCCTCTGTCTGAGACATGCCTAAGGCTTTTCCCTTTGGAACAGATTGCCTCACCTTTGCGACAGTGATTTGTTCAACAAATAGTTTTCAACTCTCCCAAACACCCCAGGCACTGAAAACTTATAGATAAGTGCTAGTTTCTACCTTGCACTGATAATCCATGGTGGGGACAGACTGTCTGTGTAAGTCACTTGGTACTTCACTGAATGAGTGTATTATGGCTGAAACTCTTTAATCCATAGAGGTTGACTATATGGAATCATAGCCTAATATCTTTCTTTTCTAATTTCTTCATTTCAAACACCATTCTCCCAGTGACACAGCTCAAAACCTTGGATTCACTTGGCTTTCACCCTCTTCCTCCAGTTAATTGCTAAACTTGTTACAAAAGTCCCTCTCAGAGATTTTTTCCATTTCATTTAGCCTCTCCTACCTTATGTCCTTATCTAACCTTTGGTGACTTTTGACACTTGTCTCCAATCTCCTACTACAATCTGTTGTTACCAAATTAACCTTCCTCCGGTACCCAACTCATTCCTTTGTTCAAAAGTCTTTGCTGTCTCCCTAATTTTTGCTTAAAACAAAAATTTCACGTTATTTAGATTGCCATTGATACCTTTCTTGCTTTGATTCTGACTCTCCCATCATGATTCATTTCTTACTATTCTTTTTCTGGTTTAGTCAGGCTAGTCTCTTCATTCATTTAAATGAATCAAATTGTTTCCATCTCCTCCTTTTGGCTTTTGTTCTGTTGGGTTTGGATGCATCTTTCCCCCCACTCAGTGTTTGACAAAATTTTAGCTCCTCTGCTATCACTGGTCTAAGTGTTGGATGGAGAAAAATAGGCAAGCCCCTGGTTTCACAGGCAACATATTCTACCAATGGCCATGGGCAGTAAATGCACGAGAAAAAAAAATGTCCAGATCAGGAAAGAGTCCATGAATAAAGATAATGAAGCAAGAAGTGTTGATGGGCGGGTTAGGGAATAGGGCAGGAGCTCTTAGCTACCTCACGGTCAGGTGAGGCCTCCCTATGGAGGTGACGTGTGAGCGAGCACTGAGTGATGTCAAGGCCTGAGGAAGGGCAGAAGACACAGATGCAAAGACTGAAAAGGGGAGGAAGACCTTGTTGCAAGGGGACATCAGGCCAGTGGCGCTAAGGCCGGATGAGCATATTGGAGATGATATTGGGGAGATAGGCAGGGCCAAGGAAAGAAGTTGGGGATTTATTCTGCTTGTAGTAAGAATCTATTGGAGAATTTTAAGCAGGGATGTGATGTTATCTGTTGTATGCTTTAAAATGCCCCCTCCAGCTGCCATGGATAGTGAACTGTGGAAGTAAAATGACATAAGGAACTCCATCAAGAGGGTGCTGTAGAGCCTTGAGAAAAACCAGGGAGGGCAAGGGCAAGTGGCTGAGTTTTTTTTTAAAGATTATTTATTTATGCATACAAGAAATGGAGTATAGGCCAGAGGTGCAGGGGTGAGAACCTTCATTAGAGATAGAGTGGGGAGCAGAACAGTCAGATTAATTGAAATACATTGCTGAGGGGAGCAGTGGGTGAGACAGGAGATCTCTGCCATGTGGGTCACCTCCCCGACTAGGAATCGAACTTGTCCTGCAGCGGCTTCATAGAGCATAAACCCATGTACCAACAGAGAGTGCTTTCTTAATGGATTTTGGAGGTGGAATCCATATGACTGTTGATCAGATGTGAGGGAGTACAAAAGTAATCCAGAAGCCACTTGGCAGATTACTGTGCCATTTTCTGGGATGGGCAAGACATGACAAGAACTGGATTTGGGGAAATGAAGAGGTGGTGTTTACATGTTACATTTAAGCTATCAATTAGACATCTGATTGGCCTTGTTGAGATAATCATGATTTGATAGAGGAATTTGGGGCATCAGAGTAGATTGGTGCAGAGAATGTCCATTAGGGAGTCATTACCGTATCGGTAATTACCATAATGGCAACTAAAGAAATAGGTGAGTTAATTTTAGGAGGGATCACAAAGAGAGGTGGGGATCTTTACAGGTTTTGGGATACTCCCTTTTTTTTTTTTTTAAAGATTTATTTATTTGTACAGAACTGGGGTACAGGCCAGAGATGCGGAGGGTGAGAGGATTCACCAGAGACAGAGCGGGAAGCAGAACAGGCAGATCGACTAAGCACACTGCTGAGGGGAGCAGTGGGCGGGTCAGGAGAGGTCTGCACGCCATGTGGTCACCTCCGGGGCAGGCGGGAATCGAACTCATGCGGAAGCGGCTCTTTAGTTTCTTAGTGCAGTGCTTTAACCCGCTGCGCCACCAGGGAGGGCCCGATACTCCCTTTTTTAAGATTTATTTTTATGTATTTATGCATATAAGAACTGGGGTGTAGGCCAGAGGTGCAGGGGGTGAGAAGACTCCCTAGATACAAATGGGGAGTACAACAGGCAGATTGTTAAATACACTGCTAAGGAGAGCAGTGGGAGGGACAGGAGAGGTCTGCTGTGCCATGTGGGTCAGCTCCCTGGCCAGGGATCAACTCCAAGAGGTGATAGACAGCACTGTCACTTAACCCCAAGCCTCTGGGGGGGAGGGGGGGGCAACTTTATTTTTCTAAGTTTCTTTGCTCTGTATATCTTAGCATCCACATGGGTTGTGGAGGTAGGGTTCAGGTGATCACGCAAAAAGAAAATGACAGCATTGTCCACTTTCAGTTCTGAGCTTCTCAGAGCTCTCAGTTCCTGCTGAGGCCAATGTGACAGCAAGTCTGTGCTCAGAGGGTGACGACAAGTGCTGACCGGCTCTGGCTGGTGTCACTGTTTGATGCACAAGATTCTCTTACTGAAGAAAATCAGAGTTTGCCTGAAAAATGTGATATTTACTGGAATCTTGAGAAACAAAACTTGAATTCAAAGCTTCAGGACTGATATGTTAGGCATTTAAGTATTTCCTTAATTTTAGACTTCCAAGTGCTTTGAGATGTGTCATTTCTAAAAGATCAAATATGGGACAAAGGTTGGCCATATAGCCCTTCACATTCACATGGCTACTTAAGAACCAGTCAGCATTGAAATTGTATACTTCTAATGCCTGACCCTTCCTAGGTGAAAGCGGTTGCTTCTCTGCAGTTTTATAGCTTTGGTCCAGAAATTTTTACCTATTTTTTTTTTTTAACCTATCCCCCTCCCCCACACTAGAAACAAAATGCCCCTTTGAATAGAAATGTGTAAACTTTCAAAATTTTTTCATGTAGAACAGTAATTTCAAGAATTTTTTAAATAACATTTTAACATTAAGATTATCTAGGACAGGGCCCTCTCTGGTGGTGCAGCGAGTTAAAGCACAGCACTGAGAAGCTAAAGACACTTCAGCATGAGTTCGGTCCCCACCCCTGGAGGTGACCCACGTGGCGCGGCAGACCTCTTTTGACCAGTCCGCTGCTCTCCTCAGCAGTTTACTTGTTCAGCCAGCCTGTTCTGCTCCCTACTCAGTCTCTGGTGAATCCTCTCATCGCCCCTGTACCTCTGGCTGTACCCCTGTTCTGTATGCACAAATAAATAAATCTGAAGAAAACAATTATCTACGACAATATAAGCACAGATCCCTGACTACAGTCCTTTGTGTCTGTAATTCTGTCAATCAGACATCTGTGTATCTAGCTTTCAGGAACAGGCTCATGTGATTGTAGAGGAAGGCCAGCCCAGAGCCCTCAGGGTAGTGTAGCAGTCTGGAGACCCAGAAAAGAGTTGACTTTTCTGTCTGCTGGGGAGAGGTTAGTCTTTTCTCCTAGAACCTTTATTTGATTGGATAAGTCCCACCTACATTATGGAGGGTAATCTTCTTCACTGATTTAAATGTTAATCTAAACGATGCCCTCACGTAACCTCTAGAACCATGGTTGACTAAATGTTGGATACTATGGCTTAGCCAAGTTGACACAAAATTAACCACCACAGTCCTCAAAACTGAACAGGCTTGGCATTATGAAAGGTTAACCGAGGTTATCTTTTGCATATCTTGGTCGTGGTGAAACTTCCTGGTGGCCGTCCTGGTCCGTTGCTTTGTGCGTGGGGATCAGCAGTAGCGCCAAGAGCATGCTTGTGGCATGGGAGTTGGTCTCATGGCAGTACTCAGGGCTGGGGGCATGGGCATTGCAGCCTGGGAGAGCCGGCAGACAGGACTTAGTGCTCAGAAAGACCCGTCCTTGCTTTAATGTTCTGCGCTGCCATCTTGAGATGATTAGTTTTTGAACATTTAAATTTTGTACCGGGTTGCTCGATTATGGGGTGGGTTCAGTCTACACCTTTAGGAGTTAGCTGTGTGTGTGTGTGTGTGTGTGTGTGTTCATTCAGCCAGTAGTGACTGCGCCCTGTGGATCCTGGGGCTGGGTCCCTGCACTGCCGCAGGGAGCAGAAGCAGACTGGATCCCACTAGAAACTAACTGACAGCTGGTGGTTCTGAGCAGGTCTCCTGGGGGGTGCGGAAAATGTATTATATCTTCTGCAAAAGCAGAGAGACTAAAGATGCGTAGGGTAGACTGACTGCATTTTTGCAAAATTAACTTTATTTTTACTGCTGTTCTCCAGGTGGAAGAGTCATCTCCACAAGTTTCTTCTAGACTTCAGAATTTGAGACTCAATCATTTAACCCCCAAGCAACTCTTCAAACCCACCAACAATCAAGAAACTTAATTTTATTTTGGATTGCTCAAAATAATTGTTATTTTCCAGTTAACACATAAGGAACCTTGTTGCTTCCCAGTGTCAAGCTAAGAGACTTCTGTCACTGACATTTCATTCTTATGGTGCTTGTATTTATTGTATAGATGTTTCAGAATCATTTGATCTGAGAAAACCTTAATGATGTCAACATCTGTTATGAGAGATGGTAGCACTGAACATAAATGAGGGGAAAAGAGGTTGCATGTTTCTTTAAAAAGATTCTGCTGTCTAAAGTATTTTGACGATAAAGGCTTGTTAAATTTGCATGATCACAGTGGCTGATTTCTGCCAGGGGTTTGAAGCAGTTAAAGAGTAACTGTAATTGCATCTCTTCACTTGATCTTAGCCTGTGGGGAAGCAGTGAGGATCTTAGCCAGTAGGGAGCAGTGATGGTAATTGCTTCTTTTTATTGACATACCCGAGGATATTGTGGCTCTTCAGAGCAGTCATCTCCAAAGGCTGCACTCCGATGCTGCTGCCTAGGCCCCGCTCACCTGGCACCCTGGAAGTTTCTTCTGAACTGGAACTCACTGGTTTTGATTTTTCTTAATCTGCCAGATAATTGACAAAATACTGTGAGTTTGAAGTTTACAATGTTGATTTGATACACTTGTATCTTAGTGTGCTCACCTCTGTAGTTTAACATTTCTATCATGTCCTAATCATCATTTATATGGGACACATGTTTGAATAGTTCCACATTGGAAATTTGTGTTCTCTCATTGTTCAGTGGCCAAAGAAAATGTTAAGAGGAAAACATCTACCTTGTTATCCCAATTTTTTTTTTTAAGATTTATTTATTTATTTGTACAGAACTGGGGTTCAGGCCAGAGATGCGGAGGGAGAGAGGATTCACCAGAGACAGAGTGGGGAGTAGAACAGGCAGATCGAGGAAGTACACTGCTGAGGGGAGCAGTGGGCGGGTCAGGAGAGGTCTGCCGCACCATGTGGATCTCCTCCCGGGCAGGTGGGGATCGAACTCATGCGGAAGTGGCTTAAGCTTCTTAGTGCTGTGCTTTAACCCGCTGCGCCACCAGGGAGGGCCCGATAACCCATTTTTAATAAATTGCTTATTATTGAGCTAAGAGTTTTTTATTCTGTATACAAGTCTCTTACTAGAAATATATTAAAATATTAAAATATCTGCAATATTTTCCCCATTCTGTAAAAATTATTTTCATTTTGTTGATTATTCACAAAAGCTCAAAATTTTTATTCTGATGATGTCCAATGTATCTATTTTTATTGTTACTTGTGATTTTTGATGTTATATCTAAAAAAATCATTCCTACTTAAAGTCATGAAGATTTCCTCTTTATTTTTCATCTAGGCATTAAACAATTCTTGGTCTTCTATGTAGCTCCTTGATTCATTTTTGGGTTAATTTTTGCTTATGGTGAGGTAAGTGTCCACCTTCATTCTTTCACATGTGGATATCCTGTTGTTCCAGCTCTATCTCTTAAAGAGACAATTCTCTCCCCATTGGATTGTCTTGCTGTGCTTGTCAAAAATCAATTACAAATGTGAAGGTTTATTTTTGGATTCTCCATTCTATTCCATTCATCTATATATATACATCTGTTCATTAGCTTTGTGGTAAGTCTTGAAATCAAGATACATGAGTCTTCCAATTTGTGATTCTCTTTCAATAGTTTTTAACTATTTTGGGTGTCTTACATTTCCATATGAATTTTAGGATCAACTTGTCAATTTCTGCAAAGTAGCTGGTGGGAATTTTCATGGGGGTTCGGTTAAATCTAGAGATCTGGGGGTTACTGCCGTCTAAACACTGTCTTCTGATTCTTAGAACTGAGCTCTTTTCTTGTTTGATGTCTTCTCTCATTTCTTTCAAGGGTACATTGTAACTTCTGAGTATTATTTTTGACTGCCTTTACTAGCTGCTTTTTACTTTTGATCCTAGAAATGTCTGCTTAGTTTTGGACTGTTCATTGCTACTGTATAGAAATACAATTGGTTTTTGTATTCTGATTATCTTCCAAACTTGCTAAGCTAACTAACTGGTTTTAATTGCTTCCTACTCAAAGACTAACTGTGTAGGACTCAGTCTAGAACCTTAAAGTACAGGCAAGGCAAAAACAAAAAAAAATGCACCTCTCTTTTTGGCTCTTAAAATCACTGTTTATTCCATTTGGTAGAGGGTTTTTTTTTTTCCATACAAATATTTGCAACAATTTTGAATTCCCCAAAACCATACATAGACGATAAATACCATGCTATTAAAGTATTAAATTTGTACAAAAATACTTTACAGTTTAATACTTGTTTGTTACAAATAAAAATACATATTTAAGTGACTCATGATCTTTTTTTTTTTCTTAACATGATTCTGCTTTATACTTTCTCGCCCTGGTGGTTCTGAAATATGACTGAAATAACATATTTCTTTGCACAGAAACAAAGGTGAGCTTTTCCTTAAGCAAAGGACACAGTGTTTAAATGCTTTACTTAAGCGGCTGATTGATTTATTGATCAAAATGAAAATGTTTGGAGATTCTACAGTCAATATACAGATCTACTTTTTTATATTCACCAAATAACAAGTATTAGTGTTAACTATTCAAAATATCTGAACAAATGGAAACAGTTGCTGACAAACTTAAAAGCAACTGTCACAATTTATTGCTTTGAGGGATGGTAATAATTGGCGATGCATTTTGTGGAAAATGTATTTACAATTTCGCTAAGAGGCATGGCTCAGAACAAAAGATAGTCCAGTGTCATTTTTATAAGTACATGTGCTGTACACCCCTCAATCTAACCAGTTTTCGAAACAGTCAAGCAGTATGAGTTTGATTTGCCTATCATTAAGATAAACCTCATTTTAATAGACTCTTCATTCTCTCTTAAATTCTTACTCTTGAATTTTAAAAATAAGATAACTAATTCTCAGTGTTTACTAACCACTCTAATTTCATTATCAGAGATTTTCAGCTATTTAAAAATGTGTCCTTAAAAAAAAAACAGGTCACAAGACATATCCTGTTTGATAATTTGTTGCATAGGGAATAGCATACATCTTAAGTTAAAATCATTCCTATACTTGGGCAAAACATTTACCACCACCTATTATGGTCTCCTCCGTGCATCGTTGCTGAAACATTGTAAGTAACTTAGTGTTATACCTCCCCCCTCCCATAGCAGCAGCCCCAGATTCACCAAACTCTAGTTCCCCTAGTAGAGCCAGCTTTATGAAAAGCCTTCTTGATCCAGTTCTTACGTCCATGACTTCAGAGTAAGAAACTGATTTCAAAGTGAATTAAGGAAATGATCATAGAGAATATTTTCAAACAGACGTTTCTCTTTTTAAAAAATGATAGGAAGATGACCTTGTAAAAAATGTCCTTGGATGGTAACTGTGGGGAGGGGTGGCCTAGCTAGTTTACTTTCTCCTCTACCATTAGGCTTGGCAGGGACTCGCCTGCTCTCTACCGGAGTGGTCACCAAGGAAGAAACCTCTTCAACTTGAAAAGGGACATGAACATGAGCCGTGAGTGAGATTTAAAAGACCCCTGTGCTTGCATTAATGCCGCGTGATTATCTGTGCTTCGAAGGTCACAGACATCTTAAAGGGATTTCTTAGCACCATGTGTAGATATTGTCTGTTGTCCTGCTTTATAAAAAGCGTTGCTATAATGTGTTAGTTGGTTCTCGTATCTCCAAATTACCACCATGGCCAGGCTGCTGATAAAAAGCACTGTTCTGTTCACTCCATTCTCTGGGTAGAGTCTGTTCCATAGACTTCTGTGAAGCAAGTGGGTTTCTACTGATAACCAGGTCCAGCTTATTGCCGGATTCTGCTATAAGGGGCACCACCAGGCAGCAGTCAAAGTCTCTTGTTCGGACATGATTCACCTGAAAGACCAAGAAGGGCCATTTTGAATAATTGCCAGAGACAAAGTAAATCCAGTTAACCCCTCTGGTGCAGTAAGTCCTGGAAGGTACTTAAACAAGTCTGTGGAGGGAGGTGTTGTCCATGCTAATGCTGAAATGTGGCTATTGGTTTCCTTATTATCTGCTGCTACCCTGCAAAACCCTTGAGAGCAGAGAACAAAGACATCCCAGAGCCCCATGCTGATCTGGTGTTGAATAGTCTCTCCTGTTTCAGGTGAGGAAAGAGAGGCACAGAGTGGGTGACAGATATGCCTTAGACTAGCGAATGGAGAGTGGTCAAGCTAGGATGTGATCCTTGGCCTGGCGGCTGATTCTACAAGTCCATGCTCCCCACTCTGACCCTGAACTCTCTTTTTCAGAAGTAAATCCACTGCTCGGCCTTAGGTTATCCACATAACCACATAACTGCTTTTCACTCTTTCTTCTTTGCCTCCACGTTTTTAAATTCATTTACAGTTTGCTTCTGAATGTGGAGATAGGAGATGGGTACAGGTAGTTAGGACCAGAGTATCCCAACATCCCAGTCAGGTGTCCTAAGACCATTCATCAGTCTGAATAAAAACAACAGGTTGGACCAGGAGGGTGCCCCTGAAGCCCAAGTGCCTTAAGTTGATTTGTAACTGGGTGGTCCCTAGGAGAAGGGAAGTTCCAGGTTCCCTGCCCCACCCAGAAGGAGGGTGGAACTGAGCAGAGAAAAAGGAGAGAGAAGAAGAGAGAAGGAAGGCAGATGGAGGAGACCTAAGGAAGCCACATGGAGCAGCAAACATGTGATGAAGAAACCGGGCTTGTTTCCTGACCCTGGACTGGTTAAGGCAGATGTGGGTGAGATACCTGTAGGGAGGTGACTATGGCAGTGTTTATATTGATTTTGATTTTGCTCTTTTCCTCTCAGATTTGTCTGGCCATTTCTGACCCTTTTCCATGGGTCCCGGCCAGAAGGTGCTTTAGTCTTGTGGCAGGCTTTCAGGCCTTGCTTTGGGCCAATCCCTTTTGGGTTGACTTTTGCCCACGAGGGGATGGGTAACTTCAGGTGTTTGATTTAGAAGTTATATCCTTTGTGTCCCATGTTGTATATTCACTGTATTAAAGTCACTTTTCATTAAAGCTTTATATGTTTTGTCTTGTGGCGGATGACAGAACCCACTTAGAGCAGGCAGGTTTTGGGGCTTCAGGGGTGCCTCTCTCTGAATTGAGGTGCCCTATAACAGATTGACAAGTTACTGAGAAACAATCATGGGGCCAGGAGGGTGCTGCTCACTCCTGTAATGTTCAGAACAGCAACACAATGACTCAGTGCTACAACAATGGCCAACGCTACTTTTGGGAAGGAAGACCAGATAATGTGGGCATACTCAGTGGCCCTTGGTCATCTAGAAGCCCCTATGGGCCCAGCCAGTCAGCAAAGGATACAACACAGAGATGCTCAGAGGCCCCATCCTTGCCCACTATACCCAGCTAAACACCTACTTTAGCCCCACAGCACTTATCCACTTGGGACTCATCTCCCCTTAGATAGCTTTCCTGTCCTTCCACTTGTCTATCAATAAATCTCTAGCTTTCTAAAACTTTGTTCTCGATGTTGAATTCTTTCTTCGCAGAAGACAAGAACTGAGGTCCTCCTGGGGTCCTCAGACTCCGGGTCTGCTCCCCAAGCCCCAGTTCAAGGCTGATATATCAGGACTGTATAACGAGACCTGGGAGAAGAAGGAACTAGTCCTCTGACACAAGCTATGTAACCTCTATCGACAGACACGGTACAGGTAGAGGGGAAATGCTCTGAAAAATCAGACTTTCCACGCTAACTTATGTTATGACCTCCCTTTTTTGTGTAATTGTAATATCAAAATATTCTGAGCAACCTTCAGCTTACAATTGGATTGCTTCAGCCTCAGGAGGCGCTACCTGGCCCTGACAAGCAAGCACTGTACCAGGGTGAGAAATTCCTCTTGAAGTCAAAAGTCTCTCTCACTGCCAGACTGAGGAAAACCCAAATCTTATCACTCTATCTCACCTAGCCTTCTATTCAGTTTTTAAATAACCACTCAAGCTTTCAACTATCTAGTCTTTGGATATGGAAATTCACCCAAGTTACCTATGCAGAGCTAATCAGGTTTCTGGGACTTTATTTTGGACAGTCTTCACTGTGGTAAATATAGTAATATTAGTCTTAAACTTTGTGAATCTGTGTACTTGTTTTAACCTTGATAGATTGATTTTAAAAATGTTATAATCTCAACTAAAGGTCAAAACGACAAAAAAACTATTCTTAGCAAAAAGGTGATTGTGATCTCAGCCCCTTTCATATGCTAATGTCATCCCACTGCCTGCTTGAAGTGTATAAAATAAACCTCTGCTGAAGGCAGAGCAGGAAGACTTGCACCCAACTCCGATTCCCGTATTCCTCGTGCCCGCTCCGCTTTTTTCCCCCTTCCCCCCCCCCGTCCCTCTTTTCCCCCCTTTTTCTAGGAATCTCCGCTTGCGGATGCCATTCCCACCTTGAGACCCTGCCTGTTCTGCCCCCCAATAATCCGTGATCGGGGACAAAGTCTCCGACAGTCCTCGTTCTAAAAAGTTTGTAATCGCTAAAGAACAGATACAGGAAAACAGGTGTTTGTAGTAGTAGGCAAATTATAACAAAGGCAAACGCTTCCATAGAGGAAAAAGCTTCCATCCTATGTAGGATAATAGGCAACGGAGGATGGGTGATCCTGGTTCAGTAAGACTCTGAACAGTTAAATTAATTGAAATTCCACCTGAGGTCTTACCTGCAGGAGTCTGTCATAGGGCTTTAAGCCACCTAGATCTCCTGGGCCAGCGGGGCGAATATTTTTGACATACACTCCTTTCTCTAGCAAGCCATCTGCCACACTGAACCCGAAGTCCTCCACATCAGAGCCCTTGTACAAGGTCACCTGAAAAGTGAAATGGTGCGAGAGACATTTAGCTAGGTTGCAGACTTCTGCTTGTGAAGCTTTTTGAGAAGCAATCTAAAATTAATTTTAAAAAGATGCATTTGTAATAAGTTAGCTCCCCACAACCGTGCAGCTTTCTCCTTTCCCTGGAACACCTTGCCATGTGTGGAATCCCACCTGCAGCTGGAAAAAAGAAAACTGCTTAGGAGTCCTGTCTTTTTTTCAAAATCATAACCAGCAGGCAAACAGGTAAGAATTCCCCTAGGAGGCTGAGGTCTGTCTTCCTGGGTACAGTGCCCAGAATACCCTGCTCCTCTGAGCAACTCCCGTGGATCACACCTATTTGCTTCAGTACATAATCCCATCCTCAGCACTGTTGGCCAAAAACAACTTAAAGGACCTGCAAGTGTTCTTTAACAAACACCTGGCTCTGAGGTCTGGCTTGATGAGCGACCTGAGCTCTTGTCCAGGGCTGGGTCTAACCACTTGACGTTTACCTTCAAAGTCTCGGACCTCAGCTACCTCTCTCTGCACGTGAGGCCAACTATTGCCCTTAAAGCATCTCCCAGCCCTCCTTCCTCACCTAACCCCTTGCAAGAGTGGCTCCGAGGTTCATCCATGAAATCGTTCTGGTGCAGTAACAAATGGCTGGTCTCTCTGCTAAGATGAGCAAGCTTGCTTTTCCCTATTCCTTGCAATGTCTCTTTCTGACACAAGCCATGCAACCTCTGTCGTCAGACACGGTACGGATGGAGGGGAAATGCTCTGAAAAATCAGACTTTCCATGCTAAGTTATGTTATGACCTCCCTTTTTTTGTATAATCGTAAAATATCTGAGCAACTTTCAGCTTACAGTTGGATTGCCTCAGCTGCATAAGGCCTGCCTGCCCTACAAGCAAGCACTGCACCAGGGTGAAAAATTCCCCTGAAGTCAAGTGACTTGACTACTGACTGATAAATAAAAGCAAAAGGGCTGTTTTTGCAAAGTCTCTCTCACTGCCCGATGGATGGAGGAAAACCCAAATCTTATCATTCTATTATCTCACCTAGCCTTCTATTCAGCTTCTAAAGAATTACTCAAACTTCCTATTGTTTGGCCTTTAGATGTGAAAATTCATCCCAGGTTGCCTGTTTTGAAACTAGTCAAATTTTCTACCTGCTACACCTTAAAGGAGTCCACAAAAGTCTTCTGGCTAGTCTTTCAGGATTCTACTAAGTAGTCTTCAGATAAGGAAATTCACCTATTCAGAGATTTGATTAGCAAGGAATTTCCTCTTCTGCCTCCCAGGATGACTCAGGTAGAAAAACAAAAACCCATTAAGTAGTAGATAAGGTTTCAGGGACTTCTATCTTAGTTGATCTCCTCTATAGTAATATTAGTCATAAACTTTGTGCACTTATGTACCTGTTTTTAACCTTGATTGATTTTAGAATGTTATATCTCAGCTAAAGGGCAATACGACCCTAAACTGTTCCTAGAAAAAAAGATGGTTGTAATCTCTCAGCCCAGTTCATGTGCTGATGTCATCCCACTGCTTGCTCCTAGTACAAAATAAACTTCTGCAAAAGGCAGAGCAGGAAGACTTGCACCCAACTCCGATGCCCGTGTCTTCCTCGCTCCCCTTTCTCCTTTTTCTCCTACTCCCCCTTTTTAGGAATCTCTGCTCGCTGAGGCCTTCCCACCTTAGGGTCCTGCCTGTCTTGCTTCCAGACACCTCAAATAGTTGGAGCTGGTCTCCAACATCTTTCCTTGTTTGACAGGTTTGTCTTGTGTTCCGGGGAAGGGGAATTAAACAGCAGCTGTTGCGAATCAACTCCCAGTTGACCCCTGCACACTCCCCTTTGCAGACCCTTGTCCACCTCCCTGCCCCCTTTTATGTTTAGCTTTGTACACATAGCCCTGCAGCCTGCCAAAGAGCAGGACGGTGGTCTTTCAGACTTGTGTCTGCTACCCTCCTCATGTGTCCACAAATTAAACCACTTTCCTTTTCCTCAAACTCAGTTTCCTTTTACTGGCTGAGGGAAACTGAGGCTGGCCTTCAATAACAATTTGTACGGTTATCAGATGTCGACAGCGTCCCTACCACAGGAGGTCTTACCTGCAGGAGTCTGTCATAGGGCT